GGGAGGGGGAGGGGTGGGCGGCCGAAAGCCAACTGTTTGTACTGAATGGCAAGAATGTTCTAGTAAATGTGTACCAAAATGTGAATTACTTTGTACGATTACAGTCTCCACGTCGACCTAACAGAATATTATTGGTATTAATGTGCTTTTTTTGTATAAAGTGCAAACATTTCTTCGTCCCAAAGTCTAAGTACTTTAGTGCAGTAAAATGTTGTTTCACGTCCTGTCAAGAATTCGTATAGCCTGGATCTGCGTGTCAAACTGTTCCATTTGTTTATGTAAAAGTGATATTAAAAAGATATAAACTATAACTGTCCGTTGCTTTTGGCAAAAGATACAACCACATATGTATATAATTCCTAGTTTCCATATTTATCCGCATGTAAAGGGCCAGTTTATCCATGTTACAGCTATTCAATATTTATGGCTAGAAAAACTCGTATGTACACTTTAGTTTCCAGAACTGTTTGGTAACCTTTCGTACCTTATTAAAGATTCTTAAATCTCAGTGATTGTGGTAGGAATTTCTTCTTCACACTCCCTCACCCCTCAGGAACCTGCTGCCTCTTATGCCAGTCTTAGGGTTCCCTAGAAAAGCTCTCCAGTCTCTCATGCCTTCCCTTTCTGTCATTGTAGGTCATATAAACGTGATAAATGAACGCTACCCTGCTGGTTCTCCGAGAGGGTGTAATTAGTATTTATATCAAAATTTATGAAACAAATTTTCGGCCGCAGTATAATTTAAATGACCTTTGCAGATGTAGAATAACAACCATAAAAATAACAGAAATAGATTGCACAGGCAACATCAATATTAATGTAGGGGAATTGTGGGAAGCTCAGGGGCTCGCTCTGCAACATTGCAAATGAACTTGCAGCCATGGGCTCTACTGTCCCCCAAATTCAACTCCTGGGTCTGAAACCAGTTTGGAGATTTACAATGTCATATTTTAAATTGCTGTCTTCAATTAAACCATTTATGGCCATAACTAGTTTTCAAGGATGTCCATGCATGCTATTCCAAGCCTTTCTTTTTTTGTATAAAAGTAAATGTCCATAAGGCATTTCACTTATGTTTTTTCAAATATGATGCTAATTTAAATTAATTACTTCCTACGATATGTTATTATTCCTATAATTTTGCTACTGTTATTAGTTCTTTCAAAAATACATCTAGAGAAGAGAATTATTTTATGTAATTTGATTATCTTTCTATCTCTTTTATTTATTTCTCATTTACTTAAGAAATTCGTTCCATTGGCTGGCGTTGATACAGTAAATTTGTAAATGAGGAGACAATATAAAAAATCTAAATTACTTGTGCTTAATGACTGTAGCAGAACGCCTTTTCTCTAAATCAGATTGTCTTTCTTGCAGTTTAGTTTGATAGATTTGCAAGCTATGCTGCTTCCACGAAGTTAGCTTCACTGGTAGGAACGCAGACTTCTTTGTCTCTGGTTGTAGCTTGCATGATCACCCCATTAGGCAGACAACATAGCTGGAGATCACAAATCAGGCCCTTGGCTATAGCTGCAAGGGAGTGGATGTGTTAAAAGCTGTCTGCAGAAACTGACTTCACTGTAGGCAAGGAGGAACATGGATGTGATACTTGTAGTATACAATGTGTGTTTAGGAAGTTATAGGGCAAAGAGAGCCCCTTAAGAGCCTTCAATCTGTTTTAAAGTGATATTAATTTTTTCAGATTATATTATTGACCAGTTACAGAATAAAAATGTTACATTGTCTTTAAAAACACTTATTGACTTGTTCCTTTTATCTCTTGCTATTTGTATTTGTCACTTTTAGTCAACAAAGTCTTATTTAATGAGGAAAGGTTTTGCTGTATTTCTGGTAGCCCATAGAAAACTGACCATTGTGTTTAACTTTTAAAAAAATATTATTGTGATTATCACAGTAATATTGGCCTTTTATGAAAAGAGCACCACCTTGCAAAATTTGGTGAGATTTAAGAAAATTAACACCTAAGCAGGAGTTGCTGGTAGCTCCAAAAAATTTTGAGACTAAAAGCTGGCTCTATACAGCTTTGGAGTTTAGAAACTGATTAACAGGATAGTATTTGAAGTGAATCCAGGCAGTGAGCCCAATAGCTAAAAATAGAATGAGGATTAAAGATAGCTCACCTCCATTTGAAAGATAACTGCTCAATTAATAATCTTTCCCCTTTTCAGTAGAGATAAGGCTGTCTGGGAACTTGATAAAAGTATGATAATGATAATCATAACAGTATATGTGTAATATTTGCAGTGCACTGAAGAAGGTAGAAAATGATGATTTTATTTTTGCTTTGACCATTCCTAAATACACTTTTCTTCAAAGCTGAAATTATAAATATCTCATTGTTTGTACATACTTAATGCCTCTCTTACATTAATATCATAGTATAAGAATTAAATATCACACTATGTGTGGTATATGATTTATGTAGAATATTTTAAAGATACATTTTAGGGATAAATGTTTATTTCAGTACTACTTCATTTTTTGAATCTTTATTTGAAGGTCAATTAATTTGAGAAGTCCTCTGTGTGTGTGTATTTGAATAATCTCACACCAAAGGAACTTTTTTAATAGAAGCCAACATTTATGCGAAACCCCTTCCTGCATTTTCTTTTTCAACACTCACTACAAAGAAAAAGTCATTAATGATGTAAGTCACCTAAAATAATGCTTCAAACTTAAATGTAGTCTATTATTTTGCTGGTACCTTTAATGTCTGCTTCTTGAGATGTATTCTTCATACTCTTCTTCATGGGCTATTAGGTTTTGAAATACATGAATGTGAACAGTGAAATATATTGTTAGACTCTATTTAGCAGGAGCAGAATATGCTGCAAATGGCTGGTATCTGTGTGTAGCTGTGGAGTTTGATTTAGGCAGAAGGTTGTACTGGTTCGTATTGTGACTACATTGTACTCTGGATACTATCAAATGATTAGAACACCTAACAGGTTATTAAAATGGTATTTTGTGTCAACATAAAGATGCCTGAGTACAAGCAATCATATTTGTGAAATGAAGAGAAATGAGTTGTGGTATGTGTGTGTACATTTATACAGCAAGCATATAAATATACAAGCACCATTTAAATGGGGGCTAAGTAATTTTCAAACATTTCAGATCCTTTGTTTTCTTCTTCAAAAGCTACCCCCAACTGCTTTAAGCATTTGCAGCTGATGATTTTGATTTTTTAAAGTCAAGCATTCAAGTTAACCTTTAAGAAACAAACTACCTCCAAAAGAAAGATGTAACCTTTCAATTGCCCCATCTGCTTATCTTTTTTTTTTTTTTTTTTTTTGGCTTTAGCTGACAATAAAAAAATAACACTAACCTTCTTTGCTGATGGGCTTGGCATTTAGATGTTATTATTTGTTGATTGTGAAGTTTTCTGAGAACTTTTAAGGGTTGGCAGTAGTAGCACAGCCCCCAAATAGATCATTCAGTCCCAAACCTTCTGTAAGTTGCCTTTTTTGAAGCCAAGGTGTAATCAGTGTCCTGGTACCTTTGTGAGTTAATGTTGCTGGAGATGGTACTTGAACATACTGCTTTCCAGGAAGTGCCTTGGAGAAAGTCCTGAGTCTTAAGGATTAGATTCATTTAAAATGTTTTGAGGAGTAACTGTAATCGGGCACACTCATAATGAAGGCATGAGCTTGTTTCTGTAATCATTTGTGGACTTGATCTGAAGACATCAGATTTTACACATTCCCAATTTACATTTCTTTCCTTTCTCCAGCTTGAAATACCAATTTTTCTTCCTTTCTAGGTAAAGTTCTCACCTCCTTCTAGTATTAAATGTAGTTCTTATAATTATATGTTCATCTTACAGGAAATAGTGTTGTTTTTGTAAAGGTGGTCACAGTTTGATATCATCTTGTTTGGTTTAAAAATTCTTGAAAATAGGGTGGCAGTGGAGAGATTCCTCCCATCCATACCAGTAGAGCCAGGAAAGCCTTGATTTACCCATAGTGCTCTTTTAGTTTTCTTTTTTAACTACCCTACCTACCATCTGTAATATATACCCCTTTAAAGTGGTTAGATGTAAAAAGTTAAGGTTTTTATGGGGTAACCACGCAGCAGTCTACTTTTTTTTCCCGAATGATACCTATTAGATGGGGCAAGAAATAAGAAAAGCGTTAACAACTTACATGTCATGTTGAAGCCTCTTTCTCAGAGTCTACCGCAAACAGGGTAAGGAGTAGGGAGTATGAACAATGCTCTCTAATCTATGCACGGGTGGTTGGCTCCAGTCTCTCTGAGCACTAGGAAACACATCAGGCCAAATTGGGGCTATTTTTACCCTGCAAGCTGGAATCTGTCATCAGTTCCTAAGGTCGGTTTCCACTTTAGAGTGACAAGGTAAAGCAGTACGACGTTTCCAACCGATGCTATAGAAGAGGTGAGTTTTTCAAGACTGAGAAATCGGATTTCTTTGGCTGTGGGAAGCTCTGTAAGCATATGCAGGAGAATACACAGGTCGTGGAAGTTACACAGAGATATTTCCACCTAGAGCACACGCAGCAATCAACTGCTAAGTCTGGGTACGCGTTGTTACATTATCTTTAACAACCATCACTACTCCTTCCACCTGAGCAAACAAAAATGTTATTTTACGTCTATCTTTTCTGTAACACTTCCCAGTAAGCTACAGAAAACGGGGCAGAAACAGATGCAAGAAGCTCATACTGTGAATTGTACTCATACTTGCAATTCTTTAATTTCTTTCTTTCCATCCGGGAAAATCTTACCCTCTGGCAAAGAAATCCAAAGTTGTGAAGGAAGATGAAACCAGGAGAAAGCAAACGGGTGAGGTGGGGCTTGTGTAAAGAGACATTTTTCCCCAGGAGGATCTCTTAAAAGTAGGGAAACACAGGCCTGGGGGGTGTGGGTGTGGAGGGAGTAATTACAGTTTACCTCACGGCACCTCCGCCGCAGCCCGGGCAGCCCGCGTCTGCAGGGCCTCGCGCGCCACCGCGCAGCCCGGCAGGGCGCTTCCGAATAGCCACCGCGGGCTGGGGCCGGGACGGATGGGCAGTGCGCATGCGCGCGCCTTGGCCGGCGGTTCCACGTGCTGATGAATATGCATGACGCGCCCCCGCCCCGGGCCGGCCGCAGAGGAACCGCGCGAGGGTTCGGCCTGAGAAACATCTCTGGGCCAGCTACCAAAATAGTGCGCCAGGGAAGCTACACGTGTTTGCTTTCAAACCGCGCTGGTGTGAGTTCACAACGCCAGTACGGTCTCGAGCATCCTGCGGCCACCGCCGCCGCCATCGTTAACTGCGAGCCGATTGGCCCCGCAGGGTCTTCGTTTCCCCAAGGATCCGCGGGTACGGGGTGCCCAGGATCCGACACCATCCAGGGCTTTCCCTCTAGTCCCCTCCCAAGCCGGGAGCTGGCACCCCGGCTTTTCTCACACACCTAGCTCTTCGGAGAAGACGTCCCCTGGACTCCTCTGGCCCCTAGGCAGAGCCCAGGCCCCAGATGCCAGGGACGCGGCGCTGAGGTTTTCCTGGAGCCTGCCCTCCGCCCTGTCTCAGATTCGGCCTGGAATTCGGCCTCTGCCCCACCCCACCCTGTCAGTCCCTTCATCTGTGTTCTCTTGCCCTCTGGCTTTATCCCAGACACCCAGCACCCCATTTGGGGTATTAGGTACTGTTTTACTGGAACAGCCATCATAGGGTCTTCAGGGCATTCGTCCCAACTAGCATCCAGCTTGCTTGCCTACGACTGACTAACATAGCCCGGATGAGCTCAAAACGTCCCTCGGAGTTCCACACAATGTTTAGGGGAAGAAATTGCCCTGGCTTACAGACCAGAAATGACTGGTTTGGTGAGAAAAACCGGAGTTCAGGCGTTGGGTTGCTGCTTTCCTCTCTTAGTGACATTTCTGGAGTTCTGTACGTTGCATGCATTTTGTGGCCAACGTACTATTTTCACAGGGAGTAAATAACCAGAGGGAAGGGGCAGCCAACACAAACACAGGAGAGGGCATCGGAGGATCCCTGGCTCATTCTGTTCTCCCACCAGCGTCTGTGCCTGTGGATGTTTGTCGTGTGTCCCAGGATGGCAGAAATGGTTGCCAACAGGTTCCAATTCTCCCTTAGATTTTACTTTCAACTGAATAGGTAGAACCATTTTGTGATGTTCACGTCTCTCACTTCCCTCGTTGCCAACAGGAGAGGGCTGGGTCACTGCCCAGTTCCCAGTGCAGTCTAACCCAGGGCCAGCTCCGACGGTGGTGCCAATTTGCTGAATCCAGGAGCCACAGTATCGTTTCATCTGACACCACCACTTGCCAAACCTTCAGCTTGAAGTTGACGCGGGCAGAGGTTCTGGAAACCTTCCTGCTGGGATGAGGCCTCTTTTTCCTAGCCAGCCTGGGAGCTCAATCTCAGTCTAGCTCAACCAGTGTCGGAGCCCCACAACGCCAGGATGGCCAAAAGAGAGAGTGTTTGCTTGGGGCTGTTTGCTGCCTCGCCTCTCCTCGCAAGCGGCCGCCGACCGCTGGGCTACTCACCCCTCCTCCTGGCCACTGTGAGGACAGTGGTTGGGGCACGAGGTTCCAGTTCCTCTGTCCGAGGCTTTCGAAGGCCAGAGTGCCCAGCGCCTGGTCAGGGGCCCAGACTCCTTGAACTCCCGTCGCAGAAGACACCATGAAGAAACCCTTTCACTATCTGTGTCTTTTTGTGTTTGAATATTGGGGCAGGGGGAACGGTGTAGACTCTCCGCACTCCCAGTGAATGATGAAGACCTGTGTGAGGCTCCCTCGGAGCAGAAAGCTCCACCTCAGCATGGGTTCCCTCGGCTTTCCCCAAAGGCCAAGGTCCAAAGAACCCTTTTCATTTGGCGAAGGGCTTGAGGGAAGGGAGGGGCGGGGGCGGGCGCGGGTTGGGGTCTGTAAGCCGCTGACCGGAGGCGGCGGACTCGCCCAGCCGCTCCGCTCGGCCCCAGCCTCGGAGCCCGAGGCGGGGCGTTCACCCTCTCCTGGGCTGGAGAGTGGGGACGCCCCTTCCCCGCCCCCCGGCGTTCCGGGGTACGCGCCAGGGCCCTGGAGACCCGGAGGCTGGGTTCGATGGCTGCTTGGCTGGTTTCTGGGCATCCCACGGCCGGGCCGATCTTAGTCTTTGGAGGCTGTGGCGGGAGTCGTGGCGGCTAAGGGAAGAGGGACCCCAAACGGCTTAGGCGCTTTCCTTTTCCCCACTTGAGCCTTAGCCTTGCCCAAATTGCCTTTTTCCGGTAGGACTGACTTTATCTGCCTGGCCTCTCTCAGCTGCCAACCTTACCCGAAATCTAGACCCCAGACCTGGTAAGTCGAGTTCATCCCTCACCCCGCCCGCCACCTTCCCAGCGGAGGCCGCTGGTGACTGCGTGCGCGCGCGTGGCCTGAGGCGCGCGCCAAGAAGTTGGGCTGATCTGGAACAGCCAGCCATGCCGATTCGGCCTTTGCCGCCGGGGCGTGTGAACGCTGAGGATCCCAGGGTAGTCGGAAGTGTGTCGGGGCTCCGGAATGAGGTGGGAGCAATAAAGGGCCGGGCCCCGCTCTCCTGGATCTTCTTTGGCCCTGCGGGCAACAAAGCTGTCTTTTAAAAATTAGCGCGTTCTGGGGTTTCTAAACTGGGAAGGGAAGAGGGGGAGGGGAATTACCTCTTTCCCTAAGCCCTTTCTAATCACTAAGGTCTCCAACCAAATTTACTCATGGTTTCTACTCCAGTGCTGTGAGATTAGTATTTAAAGTTAAGCTTTGTATGCATTACAGCTTCTCAAATATACCTGCCTCTTGAGGACATTTTGACAATTACCTTGGCCACTAACACCACTCCTTTCCCACTGGAAAAAAATAAAGTTAATTTTGTGACGGTTGCCTTAGGACACGTCATTTACATGTCACTAATGTGAAGAAAGAAATAAGGAAAGAAAAACAACCGTGGCATTTCTCCTTGGAGCTCCTGTGTGCTCTATTATTGAAATGTGAAAGATGGATTTTGGGGGGAGGGGCAGACAGGGCGCTGGAAGAGGGCTTTTGAACCATTTTGCCCTGTTGCACGGGGCTGACCTTTGGCTGACACGGCCACGGAGCGGGCCCTTCGTTAACGAGGATTTGATACATTAGACATTCGAGCTAGGCGTGTAAACCTACGCTCTGAATCCAGATTTCGCTCAAATTAGTGTTCTAGGAAATGATCTTTGTAAGTCTTGAGGCTTAACCAAGTGTCAGGCCGGCGTGCCCATCGCTGCCTGAAAAGGGCAGCGCTGGATAGCGGATAAAAGGCACATTCCTAGCTCTTTTAGACAAACAAATAAGCAAGAAACGAAACGAAACAAAAGCCCTTTGAATAATTCCTAAAATCCTTCAGGCCTCCACTTTGAGGCAATGCTCAGAGAAATCCTAACTGCAGGCAATGCCTTGAAGGCAGTGGTAGAGTTACCGTAATACTTTTTTTGAGGTTCAGATACATGTTTGTTTTAAGTCCTCGCAGGAAGTACTAGCTTGTCACTATTTATATTGGCCAGGCAGTGGGGCATACAAGGATGGGCTAGTCACAGGTTTTTAAAGCCTTTTAAAAGTTGGCCTGTCTCGAACTAATTTGATTCGACTCATCACCCCCAGACTCTGAAGGCAGGCTGGCCACAAAGTCCGGGTCTTGCTCGCTTCGGCTGAACCTGCAGCGCCTGGGCCTCACAGGAGAGGAGGCTGTGAGGGTGGACAGAGAGGCCACCTTGCTCTGAGGGAGCAGCGACTCCCTCGGTATTTACTGGCCCATTCTGGGAAAGGTGTCCTTTTATTAAGTTGTCATTAAAGCTCTAACTTTTCAAAAGGTATCGCCAGAAAAACGCTTTTCTTCTCTTTGCAAGGAGCACAGCACCTTCTAACTGTTCTCAACCGAAGGGGGGAGATATTCACTCCCGTCGGAGTTCCGACTGTTCTCAGGATGTCAGCGGGAGGAGGAAGGGAAATCCTTGCTCTTGTTCTTTGCCTGCAGCCCTTCAATGGCTGAATTCTTTTAGCTGCTGTCCTGGGGAGAGGTTCCCTGATTCCACACCAGTTTCCCACACCTGAGTGCTGTATTCCACCTCTGGGTTTTGCTGAGACCGAGCAGGGATTGTTCTTGGCACCCAAATTTACTACCGGAGAAAAACTACAATAAAGTGCTAGGCCTCAAATCTTTGCTTACAGAGGCTCTGCAATCAGTTCTTCCTCTCCTCTGGATGTAGAGGAAAAGATGAATATCAAAGGAGAAATGTAATTACTATCATTAAAAAAATTCCGGAGCAACATTACAAGTAAGGAGTCAAGGAAATCATTCCAATAGCGTAGAAATTCAGACAAGAAAGGGGCCGGGAATGAGAGGGTTTGTTTCAGACCAAGTCTCGTAAACTTAGTCCCAAGCACGGGCCGAAGATTTCCCAAACTCGGGTCCCCACCCTTAGGACTTGGGCTGCTCCAGGTGTTAAACACACTGTTTTGTAACACAGAGGCTAAAGTCCCTTTTGAAAATCAAACCTTTCCATCATCTTGAGAACTCTTCAGTTTGAGAGGGTTTAGATTCTGGCCTAAAAGTGAAGAGGAGGTGGGGTAGAAGGAAGGGTTGGAGGGAGGTGGGCAGAGGAAGGTGAGAGGAAAGACTAACTGCGGTGTTGAGTTCATTTCCCCCAGTGGCGAATCCCAACCACCTCTTCCGCCAGGTCAGGTTTTGATCTCTAGCGAGCAGAGCACGGACGAGATATAACCCAGATAGATGCAAGTGGTAAGTTGTGTCCAGTAGAGGCAGAAACAGTGGGTCCATTTGCTCTTAGGTCCACATCTTTGGAGTCGGTGCAAAACAACATTACATTGACCGGTACCCGAGAAGTAGGAAGGATGCGCTGGCTGTTCACAGACTTACCCTGCGTTTCTCTCTGGCCTCCTTCTCTACACCCTCCACCCCTGTCTGGTCCAGGAGACTGCACTCAATCTTGGGCCCTGTGACCTGATTGCAATCTGGGCTGCCCGCTAATCCCCTGGAGCTGCTAAAGTTGTCATTGTAACTGCAACAGGAGTTTCTTGCGGGCACCGAGGGAAGCCCCTTTCACCACCCCTGGGGTTTCATCCAACCCTGTCCGGACTCCCCCTACCCTGCACCCCGCAGCTCTTGTCCAGGCCACCCCTGGCCGGCTTGCAATCTGACGCAGGCAGCGCGGCAGCTGACGTCAGGGGCTGCTGGCGGCCAGAACTCAGGCTCCGGCCACTGGCGCCCGGCAGCATCGTTCATTATCAGGCACTTAAATGTTGCAAAGAAAGCTCAAGTTATTTAGGCTATATATATATATATATATATATATATATGACAATTTCTTTGGAAAGAGGGAGCAGGAAAGGAATAGGAAAGATAAGAACAAGAAACAGATTTAGTTTCTGAAAGCCACCTTACTAACTTCTCATCCTCCCCTCTCCAAGTCTTTCCCCGTCCACTCTTTTGTAGGTGTGAGCGACGCACTTTCTACCTAGTTTAGGAGGATTCTTGGCGGGTGGAAGTGCTGTGTATGTTCTTGTGGAAATGGCAGCGCTGCAACTTCTCTGTGGATCTAAGGATGTGGGGCGTAATCATCTCTGTCAACGGGAGGGGAAGTTCTTCCCGCAGGTGGATCTGGCTTGGTCTTATCTCTCATTCCCATTTAGTCAGATCCATAGCTGGGATTTGATCGTGTTATTGTTGTTGTTAAATAAAAAGGGAAAAAAATCCATAATTCCCACCTTCACCCCGCGCAGACAGATAAAGCTAAGATAAACGGAGGGAGAGTGCAATCCAGAATCAGCGACGGAACTATTTGTTACATTTCAAAAGTAGTTTTCCTTTTTTCTTTTCTTTTAAAATGAATTCAATAGCTAGCTTAAAATAGAAGTTTAGATCATTAAGGAATAACTCCTTTAAAACCATTTTGATTCTTAGTTCCAATACAACCTCAAAATCCTCTGAGGATCATAACCGAGTAAACACGGGACAGGGCAGGGTCATTGAGAGGCGAATTCTCTCTTGGACTCTTCCCTGAAAAGGGGGGAAAATGCCATTCATAATGGAATTCCACAGGTGATGGCGAAGTGATTTGTTGGAAAAACAACAAATGAAAATTACAATTAAACTTACAACCCTTCCCAAATTAAGAGTTTTTAATATATGAGGAATCTGTCTGCAATTATTATCTTACGTCATAACCAATTTAGCACCTGAATTAAAACTCATTTGGAAGACCTTGTATTTCAAATACAACTTACATTTATCCTTGGAGGTTGTCAGTAAATAGCAGTTTTTGAAAATATAAAGTTATCTTTATGATTATAAATGTAACATTTATCTGTCAGTACCCACAGGTTCAGAGTAGTTACAGAAATAGGTAGAAACATACTTTGTAAGGCAAATAAGTACTTTAATATTTAACAGAGAGAAAAAACAAAAACAGTGGCCTGAATTTTAATTTTCATTTGGAACTTTTGGAGTGCTATAGACTCAGTATTTTTGAATTAATATTATGATAGTGATGATTTTATTCTGAAATTAGTAATTTATTTTTAACCAATACTCAAATAGTAAACACTAGACACATATATGTTGATACTTTGGGGATGTGAAGTGATATTTATAAAATATGAATGAAATAGAAGCTCACTCAGATAAAAGATCAGATATTTATTTGCAATATTTATCTTTTGAAGGATAATTTTAGGAAGTTTAAGTGGTCACACTAGCAAATGTACAAAATTCCATAAACATGCACCAATAAAAATTTCCTGAAATTGTGTTAAAGTTTTCAAACAAAGAGATTGCTGAGCAAGAAAAGGAAAATGAAAAGAAACTTCATTTAGAGTAAATAAAAATAATGAAAGGCTCAAAATTTACATTTTTTTCTTTAATGTTGTTACCTATTTCATGGCTTGCAAAACCAAGATTTTTAATGAAAATTTCAAAAATGGAGTAGAAAAATATTTGGAATTCAGGCCAACTGTTAATCAGCATTGAATAACATCAGTGCTATGTTTCTAGTTTATGTACTACGTCTTTTATGTCCTATAAATCTTTCCAGAGGGCTTTGCTATTTTTAGTAGAGCAAGCTGAAATTTATTGGTCCAAGATATATTTCAGACTCTGTATAACACTCTAGCTGGGAAAACTAAGAATATCCACTACATTAAAAAATCTAGCTCATATGCTATGATCCTTGAATCAATAAATATTTACAGGTTTAAAGAAATAATTGATGTACCAAATTTCAAAATCATGATATATATTTGTGTGTCTTCAAATAAATGATTTGTATAATTAGGCAACGTTCTATAGGGGTTATATGATTTCTGATGCTGCATTAGTGATGATTTCACTTTCTGACCTTGTAAATAAATTATTAGTCTTGGTTTTTAGATTTTGCTTGTAAACTTGAATGCTGTGGACAAGATGCCCCCTAAGTGTTTAATGCAGATCTCAAAGCAGTAGTAATTTGGTTTACTCTTGCTTATGGACTTAAAAAATACTTTTAAAGATTGAGTTTTATTAGTGAAAAATTAATTTATTAGTTTATTTGGATATAAATGCAATTGGGTAGCACTTCCTGTTATAACATTTCATTGTTAAAGACTTTTCTCAGAGTTCTGTTTCAGAAGTATGCACTCTGTTAAAGTGGCAATGAAATAAAAAGTCTTTTTCTCTTGATTTGAAAATAAAATGCTTTTCTAATGTTTGTTTACATGAGTTATAGAACATATTTTCTTGAACCAGGGATAAGGATGAATAAAATATTAAATTCATTTGCGTAAGGGCATGCCTATGGTAAAGTGTGAACTCTAGGTTCTGGCCATATGTAAATAGGTGTAAAATATGTTTGCTGTTCCACTGAAGTCTGTACAAATCCCATTTTGTAAAGTAGCAGAAATAAGAGGGAAGCATAACAACTCTTCTGCATATTTTCTTTGCTTGATCAGTGTGAAGACTATATGTATATGTAGTATATTATTCATTTTACAGGTCCTGCAGCTGTTGCTTGTTACTTTCCTATCAGATGACTATACCTATATTGATCAGAAAACTGAGTAACTGATAAACCAAAAAATCTTTAAAGGCAAATATGGTTATTATTATAGTGACAGAAATAAATTTCAAACATATTCCTCTCTCCAGGGTATAATGAGAAAAATAAATATTGTTATAAAATATATAAACTAAAGTATGATTTTTCATAAAAAAAGAAAACTTGGTTGGGAAATTTTTAGCCTTTTATTTCTCTTTGGCAGATACTGGTTGCCACATACTCTTGTAGATAAGTAGAAAGTATATCACTACATCTTTTTACCCTCTCTCCTTTGTTCACCTCATTCCTCTCCCACTTCTTTCTCACCTCCTCCTTCTTTTTTCCTCATCCTTGTTCTGGAAGCTTAGTTAATACAAAATTTTCCAAAGACCTTTCTCAAGAAGGTGGCAGTGATGTGGTGAGGTTGCTGCCTCTTCCACAGGTCTTTGTCTTTTGGGGCAGTTTTGTGTGAATGCCCATCTGCAGCCAGCTAGCCTGAACTCCCATGGATGGAGCCTAAGCCAGCTAGCCTCAGACTCTGTGAGGGCTGGCTCTGGGGCTGTTCTGAGCTTTTCAGCTCCCAGGATGACCATTTTCATGGTTCAAGTGGGTTAGAACAAGCAAGGGACCAAGTTTTGACAACTCCAGTGAAATATTTGATAAAGGACACACGCCAGTCACCAAGTCATTTATTACACTTTGCAGAAATTTTTTCTTCTGTTACTTGTTTGATTTAAATACAGATTCTCTTGTCATTCTTAGTCATAATTTTCTTGCTTTTATTATCATTCATTTATTCATTTTGTTATTTTTAACATTTATTATAAAAGTGTTAGCATATTGACTAACTTTTCATGAACTTTCGATCTATTCTGAAATAGTAAGCCATGGTTTTCCTTTCCTTGAAGCTGATTTGATTCCCTGGCAATATTTTCCAGGGAAATTTTGTCCTTATTACATCTAATAGTCACTTCATGGGATCAAGCAATAATTCATATACTCTGGAACTAGTTGTGTTTTAAGTTCTATGAAACTGTAGTATTAATCTGGAATAAAAAAAGAAGAAATAATTGATCAGTTTATATATTACTCAGATTTCTGTTTCTCTCCTCTGTCACTGCATTTTGGATCATTTGGGGAGTGAGTAACCCAAACCACTTTGATTAGTAGTTGTTCTTTGGATGAGAGGACTCTGGCAGGAGGGTTTGTAAAGTGTACTTGAGGACTTTGTCCTGCATGTATTTTATTATTCCATGTGTTTCTTATCTTCTTTATGAGAAAATTTATTCTGAACAATTTTAAACATAGAAAAAGAGAATAATATAAAAACACCTCCATCACCCAGCTTCTAATTTTGTCAACTCATTGTCAACCTGGTTTTGTTTATATTTACATAAACCCTTCTCCTCCAAGATTATTTTGAAACTTATCCCAAGCATAATATTATTTAATATGGAAATATTTATTATTTGACTAATATATAATTAATATTGGTTACAAAGCAGAGTGGTTTTTCAAAGGCAGCTAATATATTTCTTGGAAACACTGTCCTGCTTGTGCTTTGGATTGTTATTCTCAGCGCTTTTAACAGAGAGCTGCTTCCAATAGCAGAGCCTTTATTAGCCACTGGAATCAAGAAGCTCTATAGTTCTCAAGAGGAAAAGAATAATTCAGTTGATTACCATCATAATCAATGAAAATGGAAGCTTTAAGTGGAGAATCTTATAATTCCTAGGGTCCAGTCACTATAAAAGAATCAGAATAATTCACTCAGAAGTTCCTGTGATTGAGAAATGATGACTAAGACTTTCTTTTTTAAAAAAGTCATATGAACTTGTAGCAATATAGAAAGAACTATTGTACTTGAAAAATGGTTATTAAAAACCATTTTATTGCTACTTCAAACCACCTAGGGCAAACTTTCAGTTATCAATAAAATAATAAATATGAGTTGATATGATTTAAATGTAATGTTTCCTTATCTCTCTAAACTATATGTAGCCACATATTGTGACTATCTTTTAGAAAGAGGGTACTTAGGTTTTAAATCCTGTGCTGAAATTATATGATGTCTGGAATTTGCTTTAAATAGCCTTGGGCAGAGGAAAGTGATTGACTGTAAGGGAAAGCATGGTTTTCACTGCTGGGCAATGACTATATGGAGACTAATGATAATATTCTACTTCCGCTTATATTTGAATTTTTAAATAAAACCATTAAACATGAACTTAAAAGACTAGAAAAATCTAATCAAAGTATAAATTTATCTGATGATCAGCAATAAGTCAAAAGGCCAAGTAAAAATATTTGGACTTTAAAACAAGAAAGGTAGAAGTTTCATTTCTTCATCCTGAACAACGTATGTGTTCACCTGGATAAGTCAATGACCCTCCCTCAGCTATGGTTTTCACATATATGAAAATGTGACCTCTAATTTAATTAAAGGATGAGATTTTTCCAGACATTTTTGTGTAATATATAGATATTAATTCCCAATACTTTGCAACAAAATATTCTTTAATAATTTAAACCTGCAATTCCTTGAATGTTTGCCATTTAATTGTTCTGATATCTACAGAAAGATCTAGTTATTATATTGCACTTGTTGTTTTGTGCATTGTATGATGAAATGTAAGTATGTAGCAAAAATTATGATAGTTATAGAGTTTAAAATAGGATTATTACTATAGCATGATCCTGGATTGTCTGTTTTCCTGGTGAGAAATGGACTTTTGAAGTTCTGAGTTATTTCTCATTTGATGTTCTCATTATTTCTTACTCTATTACCATCTGTCTTTCAGATTTCATTTCTGCATCCTTCTTGCTGGAGTTTGAAAACACATTAATGTGGTGAGTTGTACTCCATTTTGGAATTTGGGTTTAAATCAGGATTTTCATGCATTTTTCTATGTGGTTCTGGAGATGGAACCTAAGGCCTTGCACATGCTAGGCAAGCACTCTACCCCTGATCTACATCCCTTCCCTCAGGCTTGAGCTTTTGTTTTTTGGTGTTTTTTTTTGGTACCAGGGATCGAACTTGGGTCCTTGCACTTGCACAGCAGGTGGCGAAACCACTAAGCTAAATCCCCGGCTCTGGCTTGAGTTTTTATAGTGACTTTTATCTTTAGTTTATATTCCCTACCTTCTGACCAGGTCTAGAATATTAGGGATGAGAACAAGTGAAATTTAAAAAATTTTAGCAAAATTGTCTTCTCCTCAAGCTTTGTTGCCACACACTGGAATTCTGTCTCAGTTTTCTTCTTTACATTTACTGTAGCTAGATTATCCTGTCTTGAGCCTATATATCCTCTAGAGTATAAAACATCCCTTGAGTCTCCTGTAAGACAATCACATTAGAGGCATCCTATTTCTTCCATCCTCAGAGCTAGGACATTGCCTGCATGTCTTCAGGAGCAGTGGTTCTTAAAGCACACTGAAATAAGTGACTTATCTTCTCACCGTGCTGTGCCAAATGGATGTTTATTACTGAAATGTATCTGAACATGGCATGCTTGGAAAGTATGACTGAACTGACTGTCCTTCCTCAGCCCATCCTTTGTAGTCACTTCACTTTCCCTAAGCCTATGTTTCTCAGAAGACTTGCATCAGAATAATCTTGGGGGATGGTCATAATGTCTGAGATGATGATCAGGGATCTACATTTTAAAAATGAAGTTTGAAGGGCCTGGGATTCAGCTCAGTGCTTTCACCGCCTGCTGCGTAAGCGCAAGGACCCGAGTTCGATCCCTGGTACCAAAAAAAAAAAATGAAGTTTGAAAATCCTGGACTAAACCTTCACATTGTGCCCTTGAAATTTAGTTTTTTTCTGGGCCCAAGTTTTCTTTTTCTTCTTCAGTTGCAGTGCTTTAAACCTCCCTGTCTGCAGTTTTTTGAGTCTGGAATTATTAGGTGCATAAAATACTCCCAAAAAACTGGACTAGTTTTCAACAAACAAAGATGGCTCCCTCAAACATAACTGTTTATGTTACTACCACACCCTTTACTACAATTCTCTGTCTTTTGATCTAGCATTAGAAGAGGGATATGTACATGATATTAATAACCATACTGTGCATTAAAATGCCTTTAAAAAAGCTAAAAAAACCCTTATATATGTAATATATTATTTAACAAACAGTCAGCCAATGAACTCATAGTCTATTTTGGGGTACTGTACAACTTGCCCCCTGATTGTAGTACAAAGACAGTGAAGAGCATATTTTCTGCCCAAGGGAAGCCCATAATGAGGATAATATGAACACATAATGTTATAGGGAAACAATTGGAAAGAAACATACCTGATTCATATCCCAAATATGCTTTTTAATTATGTAACTCTGAGTGACCTGGAATATTTAGAATGTGTACCCACGTATCAACCACTGTATCTGTTGCTTTATCTTTCATTGTATGTATTCACCTTTAACAAACATTTGTTATGTACCATCTCTATATTTACCTATGTTTAACATGATGCAGTGAGAATACAAATTCCATGACAATGAAGTTAATCAGAAAAGCTCTACACAAAGGTGATGAGTGTAGGGGAGATGTCACAGGTGCCCACAAATGGGTTGGAGATATTTACATGGGGAAGGATTGCAGCACTATAAGATAGTATTGATTTTAGAAGTGAATATTTCCATATTTGATAGTTCTATTCAGTCATCTATGGGACAATTCTTTAACTAGTGACTTCTGATAATGGTGATTATGATTTCTTGGCTCACAGATTTGAGATTTTATGAAGTGTAACTTCATTCTCTTTGGGGATTGTCTTAGTCATCTTTCTTCATTGCTGAGACAAAATAGCTGGCACTCACAGTTAAGAGAGGAAAGTTTCTTTTGGATTACAGTTTGTAGAGGTTTCAGTCCATAATAGGCTGGCTCCCAGGCAGGGTAGGATGGCAGAGGGGTATCACAGAGGAGAAACAGCTCATGGTGGGTAGAAGGCAGCAAAGCACTAAAATAGTGAAGAAGCAGCTGCTGGCCTACCTTTTTTCTGTCCCTTTATATTCATATAGGCTTCCTGCCCTTTGGGTGGTGCCACCCAACTCAGGGTGGGCCTTCCCATTATCCATACACAAAACTATGCCAAACCAATCAGACATTAAATCCCAACATCACACAATCCCAGCATCACACACCCTAGATCCAGTGACCTCTGAAAAGCACCACTCATGACCACATAAGGCTTTAGGGGGACATCTAGACAGAAGCCATAATAGGGATGTAAGTGTGTGAAGGGTTTCTTGGATTGGAAGTTTTCTTCCTTTAGAAATAGTGACCTTTCCCATATACAAATATGTTAGACATAATAAACATTTACCAAATCTGTATGTACATATTTCAATTATAGCTAAGTCTCCTTTGCAATTTAATTTTCCAAACTGTATGATGGAAGATAAAAAGATTTTCTCTTGAAAACTAACAAGAAAGTGTAGTCAAATTTGAAGGGATAGGGCCGGGGATGTGGCTCAGTGGCACTGTGCCTGCCTGGCAAGTGCAAGGTTTTGTGTTCGATCCCTGGTACTGGAAAAAAAAATCGAAGGAACTACCACTCATAAACCATCTGTACAAAGACAATTCTAAATACAACTAAAATTTGACAACCTTTTGATGTATATTTTGTATGAAATTTTGATTGTTAACTACTTGTACAATAACAATTTAATTTATTTTCTGTTTTAAAATATTCAAGAAGAGTAATATATGTGGGCACATATTTTAAAGATGCAAATTTTAAAGTTTCATTCATTCTTTTAAACAAACGCCTTCTTATAGTTAAGCTGGATTGTCATTTTGATTGGCTTGGAAGCTGCTCAGGTAATTAGTAAAACTTACTTTTGGGTCTGTCTGTGTGGGTAATAGAAGTGTGACCTTGGGGTGTAGGTCTGCTCCATCCCCCTTCCTCTCTGGTGGTATTCCCCAGCTCTGCTTCACAGCTACCATGAACTAAACAGCTTTGTTTTGCCATTCCCTTCTGCCATGATGTTCCAAAGAGCCTTAGAGTCAGCTGATTATGGACTGAATCCTCTGCATCCATGAGCCAAATTAACCTCTTGTCCCTTAAATTATGGGTGTGGGGTAATTTGTTCCAGCAACTGGAAAGCTAACTAATACACTTTTACTAATGCCGTCTACATGTCAGGACCTCTTCTAGGTTCTGGCGATACAGTGATGAAAAAGATGAATTCCTCAGGGAGCTTACATTCTAGTGGGAATGGATGACAACAATAAATATGGAAAAGATACATATAAAAGGTAACTTCAGAGATTCATAAGTTATAACTTTCATTTAAAACAGAAGAGTGAGAAAGACAAGAGTTTGTGGAGGAGGAGAAAGAGATAATAATCAGTAGTGGCTTTTTTGAGAAGATGACATTTGAGCTGAGACCTAAGTGACGTGAAGGAACCAGGCATGAGAAGAGCAAGGAGTAGGGGAATCTAACTGATGAAAGAGAATGCAAATGACCTGAGAGTAAGAACTAGGTTGACATGTTGATGAAATCATTAATTTATTTCTCTGCACAAATGTTTGCCTAGAGTCTGTTTTGTGCCAGATACGACATATTTTAAGGTGCAAAGGAAGCAATGATAAAGCAGACATATCAGTTTTCAGGTCTCATAGGACATATGTTCTAGTCATAAGAAAGGTGACAACAATGAAAATAAAGAAAGGAAGAAAGGAAGGAAGAAAGGAGAAAAGTACTGAGTACTGAATAATGATAGGTGAATTAATTCTAAGTGAGATGGAATAACATAACAGATATTTTTGGACTGGTTGTATTAGCTTGTGGAGCCAGAGAATGCCTTTCTGAATACATGATCTAGTACAATCAGAGGGTTGTTGGGAGCAATGTTACATAATTATAGGGAAAAATCATTTGAGTAGGCCTAGTTCTCCTGCCTACAGGCCAGCTATGACATTTCAGACATAATTACATTTTGGCCTCGGGTCACAGCTGAGACCTCAGTGATCCCAGGATGCTGTAATGCTCCAGGACAAGACCACACCTGCGGGAGAAGCCAAGGAGGGACCAAATCTTCACCTGCATAGTTCCTCATTGGTCTTAGATTTCCACTGCCCCCCCCCCAGTCTTTTGTTACACCTTGTTTATCCCAATGTGAAGTACTGAACTCTACATTTCACTTGTTACATTTGTTTCCCCACGTATTAAATAAAAGGTGCTGCAAGCTAGGGGGTCTTTGTCATTGCTGCCCAGAACAACACTGATCAGATCCAAAGCTCAACTTCTTCTCGGTCTCATTTTTCTACCTTTCTTGTAATTCGCCGTGTGCTGCTGTGGCTCACAGGAGACTAGGACTCACTACAGAGGTTCTGGTGACGTCCCCTTCACCTGTTCCCTACAGAGGGTGGTAATGTGAGGCTCACTCTTACATTGGACATTCCATATTGTGGATTGGGACATAGTAAACTAGGGGAAGGATTATTTGAGAATCTGTGGAGCAATGTGAAATCCTATTATTCATGAAAGTACATGGGAAGAAATGGAACTGTAGTCATTTGAATTTATAGAAAGGGGAAACAATAAAATTAGGTACTTCATAATTTGTAGCAAGTTTCATGCAACTCTTCCCAAATGTTTGGGATATTGAGGCAGAACACAGGTGTTTTATTGGAAGGGCCTCTGGGACAAAATTAATGAGCCTTTGCTGAATAAAGAATAGTTTTAACATCAGTGAATGCAATTAAAATAATGCAATTAAAATAATGAAAATGTGAAAATTAGTATGGATTTGAGCAGCCTTTATTTTTATTTGTATTTTTTTTTGCATTACTGGGGATCCAACTCAGGACTTTGCACTTACCAGGCAGGCGCCGTGCC